AATATTAATACATATATCATTTTAAAATTGTATATTTTGTTATATTTAGACTATTACATATTTATGTTTATAGAATAAAATTTATAGAATATTTATGGAATTTGTAAAAAAGAGAGTTACTTAGTGTAGGAAATAATAAAATTTAATAAACAACAATGAAAATAAACACTCACTTTTTTATTTGGTACAAAGACAAATTCAATGAGATTAATATTGTTAAACGTAACTTCATATTATGTTAATTCATCCTAATGTTGAAACTAATATATTACAATAATTTTATTTTCATGCTATGAAATTAATCAACCATCAACAAATAACATTCAATAATTTAATGTGGTTCAACAATATTTAGTGCTACCATTCTAATACTGTCATTATTACCAGTTCGTGCCCGCAAATCACTCTCTTGAATCCAACGTTTAATCTCCGCTATAGCGTTTTTTCTATTCTCGTCGGTCTCATTTAAAACTTTCGCTGCATATTCTTTTTGCTCGACTGTCAAATTAAAATTAAGCACAGAACTTTGTCTACTGAGAAGACACTCGCAACTACGATTGACCGAAGTGTACTTCGTTATTTGTCAAACAAATCCCGTGCTAGCTAATTCGCGCATGCGTACAGCGACAGCGAGATATATAGTATATATGTTGCTATCTGTTCGCTACGCGTGTTTGCGACCTTGATTAAAACGCGGAAATACGCGTTTATTTTGTTCGTATCATACTCAGCGCTTTGTCATCTTAATCACCTTCGGTCAAATACAATACTAATCGATTATGTTATCGGCATATTTACCGACGCGTAGAACAGTAACCGTTAAAAAAAGTCTATCTGTGTGTGTGTGTGTGTGTGTGTGTGTGATGTATATTCATGATTTCTTTAGAACATACACACATATTAGAAGAATCATAATCAAATTGAGCAAGGTATAAGAAGCGTTCCTGACATTTATCTATTTTTATTTTATCGTTTGAAATAATTTATGCGCTTACGTAAGATATATGTATATGTGGAACATAATATCCTATGTAAGATACAGATCCATATTATTCTTACGAAACGTATTATTTATAAAAAATATGCATTTTTTCTTTTTGGCAAAGTTTCTTTGGACAATTATGATTCTTGTCAAAATCCGAGCAAAAATTATTTTTGGCGTGTTTCGATATATCATATGTAATAAAAATAGTATATATTTTATTGCTTGAATCTCGTTCTCCAATAAAAATAATATCAGAAAAGAAAATATATATATATATATATTGCGGCAAATTATGTAAAATAATATAATGCACAATATATAATTTAATTATTTTATTACTATATTTCGGAATTAAAGTTATTACATCCACAATAAAATTCAACATACAATTTTATATTTGAATGCTTATGTAAACGTATTTTAATAAGAAACACTATTGTACCTCTTGATTTAATATAAAATGAGAAGAAAGTTGACTTTCCATTTGTAGTGATTTCTCGTAACAAACGGTCCGATATTCTTAGAGAAATTCGGTGTAAATATATTTATAAGTTTTCAGATGGTGATTCTCGTTGTATAAATTACAAATCGAGATTAAGATGGATGAAACAAGCTTATCATAAAAATTAAACCATATTCAACAGGTAAGATATTAGCTGGCATATTTATAAAACAATTGCGCGTCGTGCTATACGTGTAGATACGCAATCTTTGTTTGAGTTTTTTGCTCAAGAAGTATCGCTCGGTAATTGCTATAATTTGTTTAGTAAATTCTGGCGTATTAATATAGTTAAGCAATTGAATTCTTACGGGGTAACAACCCTGCCATGCGTGGATTAGATTTATTATAATGCGAGGTGTCACTTGAGCGATATAATGCAAAGTTGCGTGTCCTAACTCTATAATTATTACGAAACCGTACAAGGATGCTTCAACGCTGTCTCTTATAGCCACATCTAAGACCATAGATGAGACCTAAAAAATCACCCGTCGAAAAATATAAACAAACAGAAAGAACCAATTTAAATTAATATAACTTTTGTGACACTGGTCATTAGGCTATTAATACCTTAAGTGCGTCTGATAATGTAAATATGTCTGGATTATGCACAAGACGCGCGATGATAACCATTCTTCCTTGATCATCCAACTTTCGCAAAGGTAAACAAATTCTAAACGTAAACAAAATATTTCAAAATCTTTTAAAAATGTTTATATTTAATTTTACGGCAAATATATATATCTAGAATGTTGTATTTACAGTTAAACTAAAAAAATAAACTATTGTATCCATCAAAATGAATTATTAACCATCAAAATAAACTAAGTTTTCGATAAATATATATTTAAAAGTAATTATATATTAATAAAATTATAATGTCATAGAAATGTGTATGTGTGAAAAAGATATTAAATAAAAAATCATCCAAGAATTGATCATTAAGAATAAAACTACGGTTAAGACATACGTCTGTCGTAAAAAATGATGCAAAATTTTGAGATTTCATAAACTCTGACGATTTAATAATTTATTAGGAATATTTGTTAGGAATATAATTTATTAAGAATTTAGCTCGGAATTAATGTTTAAACTCTATTTATAATTTAAGAATATAAATTATTACAATTAAATAACATCAAAACAGGTCATAATTATAAATAAATGTACACTGTGGTAAACATTTTGCAAGTAAATCATTACGAAATAAATTGATAATGATTATTATGAAAGTGCGAAAACCGTGAAGTTTCATAGTCAGTCATCTTCGTCTGAAATATACGTTGTTTATCTACAAGTACAATAGTACGAAATAGTAAAATTTATTTATTTATTTGTAGATTAACCGAGATACAAATATTTACATGTAGACTCGTTTTTAGCGAGTTTGTAAAAAATGTTTTTATAGAAATATATTTGATAGAAAAACTTCATAAACTTTCGCACTCTCATAATTATATTTTGGGATAATTGTAATACTATACCCCATATCGAGCAATTCCTGTAGTTTCGGATGTAGCGGATCCCTATTCGCGTACCACTCCGGTAGTTTAACTCGCTGCTTTTGATAATTTCGCAACTTGGTCTTAGTATTCTCAATGTTAAATTTACAGGCTCTCAAAAATCGCAAAATGGAGAAGTCATCTGTATATAAATTAACGTTTTCTCTCAAAGGAAAAACGACACATTAATGAATAAATTATATAGGCATATGTCTAAAGGGTTAGAATTTTGAAAACGGAAAATTTTTCAAATAATTTTTTTTAATAAAAAATGTATTACTAAATTTCTTTTAATGTACTATATTTAAAAGAGAGACAGAGAAAGTGTAAATGTTATTATATGTACATTTAATAATTTAATTTTTATTTCCTTGCAGTGTATCACGATATCAAATATGTATCTATAAACTGCAATTAGCTAATGATTAATAAATAATTTTATTTTTATCGTACTTAATAAGTTGTTTTACAACATGTACTTGGAATTACGAGAATCTTATTCTTAATTATTGATTTTTAATTGTTATGATGTAAAGTAAAAAAACGTGAAAAAAGCATATTGCACAGACAATGCTTTCTCTCAATAGAAATCTTACTGTGATTTATAACATAATCTATTCAATATACTTTTTTATTTTAGTTAGTTTATATCATAGCGGTTGAATAGAATCTCAATTTCAAGCACATTGTAAAATAACACTATCAAGTATGACAACATAAAAAAATTGTGCATTAATCACATAACGCAAAAAGATACGTGCGCATGATGTATGTTACAGCTAATGCTATTGAAGAGAATGATTTAAGAGAAATGCACTTATATTAAATTTTATCGTTGTAACGTAATTTTGCATTCTTGTTTTGTGTGACAATCTTAATATTCTATTTTAATCAAAATTTTCAAATTATCTTTTTATAATGACAACATGTAAGAATTTATCGCATCTCAGTTAAAACACACTTTTCATTCAATAAAAGAAACGAATTCAATAAGTTTAACATTTGTTAAACATAATCCCACATACGCTAATCCGTGTTAATGTGTTAATCATAGTTCATAATAACTTTATTTTAATGCTCTAGAATTAATGGATCGTAATTAAACGTTATTCAAAAATATCTTAGAATCTCTAACATAAAAAGACTGCTATTTTTTTACCAGTTCGTGCGCGTAAATCGTTCTCTTGAATCCAATGTCTAATCTCCGCGACAGCGTTTTCTCTATTCTCGTCGGACTCATTTAAAACTTTTGCTGCATATTCCTTTTGCTCGATTGTCAAGTTATGTGCAACACTATTGCAACTCTGAGAGTCTGTCATTGTGATAATAGTAATGACAGAACCTTATCCGTTAAAAGTATACTTATCTCTGCGATTGACCGAAGTGTCACTACGGTATTTGCCAACAGTTTAGCCATTTCGCGCATGCGTAGCACGGCCATAGAGAGGTATGTATATGTGTACGTGTTCTGTTCGTTACGTATATGCGCGACCTTGGCTAAAACGTATTTGAAATCGTCTGTATCACATTCAACGCAGTGATGTCAGTTTCGTGACGCTGCCCGCTGTCATAGCATGTAGAGGGGATGCGCACACAAGCGTGAACCGTGTACATGTAATGCGCAGAGCGTTCTGCAGTGCATGGCGGTCTATGCAGCATGCAGCATCTCGAAACTGCCATCGCTGATTCAGCGCTGTGTTAGCTCAATTACCTTGAAACGCAGTGAGGAAAGAATAACAGGAGTGAGCATTTGGTCACATTTGGCGAGCGAACGGAAGTGACTATATATAAGTGGACGGTCAAGATGGCCGCTTAGGGACGAATTGCAGCATGACAGAGATACTGTATACGTCAGTATCTCAAAGGCCTGGCAATGCACCATCATCTTACAATTAACACTTATTAATAATATTTGTTTAGCCTAATACTGGCTCTTCCTCTCACTTATTTAGAATCGGTGATCATGCGCAAAATAAGTGCAGATTGGAACAAGTAAGGCAACAAGTGGCTGTACACGGCCCTGAAAAACGTCAAAAAAGTGGACGGTCAAGATGGCTGCGATGACGTATTACTGTTCGCGATAAGTCTACCCCCATTACCGATATACTCACTCCTGTTATTCTTTCCTCATTGTTGAAACAAACAACAACTGTTTATATTATATTTACCATGTATATGGATGTGACTGTAACCGCTCAAAAAACAAAAAAGTTTATCTATGTAATTGATTTTAATGATCTTATTTTACTATTATTTTATATGCTATGGTTCATTTATTATTACTTTACATGCTATAATTTTATTTTGTCTGTTTAGTCTTTTTGTTATTTAAATTCTTTTATTCGCTTACGTGAGATTTGTATACAGAATGGATACAAATCGATATTTCTTGTCAAAAAATAAGCATCTTTTTCCTTTAATACGATTTTTAGAAGTGCATCATTTTCAAGATAATTAGATTTATTTTTCAATCATGTCATCCTTGTTGGCTAAGATTTAATCGAAATATACCTCGCATGAAGTACTCTATGGTAATCAAACACAAAATAATAATTTATATTACAACCGGAAAGCACACACACTTCAATGCAATACCGGAATTTATTTTCATCAACTCAAGATTATCTCAAAAGTATTTCATTATAAAAATGTTAATATGAAATTTAACAAAAATACTAAAATTTTTATACAAAGAGTAATGTTTATACAAAGAATCAAGAAACACACAAATGCACTGTATCGGCATATTACAAAATAAGATATCTCAAAAACGATGCTGGAAATTTTGCCGAAAGAAAATAAGGTAAACCTTCGGAAAACCCACCTATATGAAATAATGGGTAAGAATACCCAATTCTTATGTATTTTTGCCTCCTGAACACGAATATGAAACTTAAAAATGGCAGTCGGACTCGCAAATCGAAGAGAAACGCAAAAATCCAACCCATGTCCGAGGGATGCATTTTTAATAGTAATAATTCACCCCTGGGATATAGGTTTGGGTTAGGTTATATCTTCCGGAAGTGGAGCCCTCCCGTAAGGGGGACGGAACCCACTGTGTCCACACATACACTTTCCTATCCACACAATAATTGTGGGATGGACTTCGCTTCGCATTGTAAAATATATGCATGGACACAGTGGGTTCCGCCCCCCCCCCTACGGGGGGGCTCCACTTCCGGCAGATATAATCTAACCCAAACCTATATCCCAGGGGTGAATTATTACTAATAAAAATGCATCCCTCGTACATGGGTTGGATTTTCGCGTTTGGTTGGATTTTTGCGTTCCTCTTCGACTTGCGAGTTGCGAGTCCGACCTCCATTTTTAAGTTTCATATTCATGTTCAGGAGGTAAAAATGCATAAGAATTGGGTATTCTTACCCATTATTTCATATAGATGGGTTTTCCAAAAGTTTACCCGCGTTTGATTGGTTTTTTGCGTTTTTCTTCGATTTGCGAGTCCGACCGCCATTTTTAAGTTTCATATTCGTGTTCAGGAGGCAAAAATACATAAGAATTGGGTATTCTTACCCATTATTTCATATAGGTGGGTTTTCCGAAGGTTTACCGAAAATAATGCTTCTTTTATACCTTTAATGTGTACCTTTTATTTTATATCTTTTTCTCAACACTGGGTAAATAAATTCGAATAATTTTTTTTCATGTATTAAAAAACATAAATATTAAATATATTATAATTTATATATATTTACTCTTCTATATATTTATAGAAAGAGAGAGAGAGAGAGAATTTTTTCATACATCGCAAATACTTACATAAATTAATATAATATCGTTTCGAATTCAACTAACTGTTCATATATCAGTTCAACCTGTTACAAACCAAAGTTATTCTAAAAGAATATCGTTTTCAAGCACTAATTGTTGGGCTGTAAACGGATCTCTCAGATATTATTGACGTTACTGAATTAATAGCCTCTAGAAGCTTTTAAATCCGCACAAACAACTTTTTGCGCCATCAGACAATATTGCCTTATCAGGCAATATGGGGATGTCAGAGCGCGAGACAGCCGAAATTCCTTTGCGCGGCCTGCGACGAGTCGACAATCGTAGAGAGAGCGATATACTCAGAGTGAACGTTTAGAAGCGATAAAAAGATGATAATTAAGAGCTGTGTTGTGCTAAGTGATGCATCTGTGGGCCCTCTCGTATGATAGTCGATCCCCTCGAAGTATCCATCTTTTTCGGAGCCTCCACCCGACGCGTTTGCGATTGGAGAGCACTAATCAATTAATTAAACTATTCATAGAATACGCGGATTTTAAAAAGCAAGATGAGAGAGCGATTGCAATTAAAATTTACTTCATTCGTCGACTTAAATGGACCTCCCATTCTTGAATCCTTCAGAGATAATTAAAGAGCGATTGAGAACGAGAGAGGGAATCTGATTTTTCTAAGTTACTAGTTTCGAGCTAGTGTGTCATCTCAAAATATGTTACATATCTTGAATTAAGACGGAATAGTGCACGGAGAAGAATATTAAGGGATTTCCTACAATCTTGCTCCGAGAATCATAAGAGTTTAAAAAGTAAAAGAGAGAGAGAGAGAATAATGCTTCTTTTATACCTTTAATGTGTACCTTTTATTTTATATCTTTTTCTCAACACTGGGTAAATAAATTCGAATAATTTTTTTTCATGTATTAAAAAACATAAATATTAAATATATTATAATTTATATATATTTACTCTTCTATATATTTATAGAAAGAGAGAGAGAGAGAGAATTTTTTCATACATCGCAAATACTTACATAAATTAATATAATATCGTTTCGAATTCAACTAACTGTTCATATATCAGTTCAACCTGTTACAAACCAAAGTTATTCTAAAAGAATATCGTTTTCAAGCACTAATTGTTGGGCTGTAAACGGATCTCTCAGATATTATTGACGTTACTGAATTAATAGCCTCTAGAAGCTTTTAAATCCGCACAAACAACTTTTTGCGCCATCAGACAATATTGCCTTATCAGGCAATATGGGGATGTCAGAGCGCGAGACAGCCGAAATTCCTTTGCGCGGCCTGCGACGAGTCGACAATCGTAGAGAGAGCGATATACTCAGAGTGAACGTTTAGAAGCGATAAAAAGATGATAATTAAGAGCTGTGTTGTGCTAAGTGATGCATCTGTGGGCCCTCTCGTATGATAGTCGATCCCCTCGAAGTATCCATCTTTTTCGGAGCCTCCACCCGACGCGTTTGCGATTGGAGAGCACTAATCAATTAATTAAACTATTCATAGAATACGCGGATTTTAAAAAGCAAGATGAGAGAGCGATTGCAATTAAAATTTACTTCATTCGTCGACTTAAATGGACCTCCCATTCTTGAATCCTTCAGAGATAATTAAAGAGCGATTGAGAACGAGAGAGGGAATCTGATTTTTCTAAGTTACTAGTTTCGAGCTAGTGTGTCATCTCAAAATATGTTACATATCTTGAATTAAGACGGAATAGTGCACGGAGAAGAATATTAAGGGATTTCCTACAATCTTGCTCCGAGAATCATAAGAGTTTAAAAAGTAAAAGAGAGAGAGAGAGAAAGAGATCTACCTCAAGTTATTATTCCGATTACGAAGAAGTGCGATGAGCGATAAACGAAGATTTCCCGGATTGAGAAAAAAAAGAGCCTGCGTAGATCGCGAAAACATCGCGGCTACTTGGACGGAACGATTCAGTCTGACGCCGAGAGCAGCTGATAATTACGGCCAGTGACCATTAATAAACTAATCCTTGGGAATTTCTTACCATGCGGACCCATCCGGAGCAAGGAGCCCTGCCGCTTTATCGGCCTTTAGAATCTCCGAGTGCCCAGGGCAAGATCGTCATATTTTCTTTCCTATCCTCCACCTTCTTCCTGATTTCTCTCGACTTCCTTTCCATCCCCCGGAGGAAGGAATCATCAATCCACGCGGGACTCAATTATTAACTGTAAATAATCTCCTTTTCTCTCTAAGAATGGATATGAACATTGAGGATCCCCACATAGCTACCGCTCTTGAATCGCTGATTTCTGAAGCTGGCTCCACGCCCGTCTCAAGTGCGAAAGATCGCAACAAATGCCCTGGCGATCAGAAATTACATCCTTCATCCATTAAAAGCTCACGCTCAGGCTCTGAGACCAGTACGAAATTTCATTTAGGTCCAGTTTCTGGATCAGTTATCTCGCTTACCGACAGCATCCGCAACAACCGATATTCGGCTAGCAATGCCGGACCCTTTGATGTCCATGTGCAACATCTTTCTGATTCGAAAAGCTCGCTACATCCAATTTTTGAAAGAATCATTTGTGAACTAATCATAGAAGATATTCTTGAAATTAAAAGAATCGGATACTCTAAAGTATCAGTATTTTTTAAATCTAGAGAAGCAGCCAATGCTTTAGTAGAAGATAGGAGGCTTGCCACCAAAGATGTAGTAGCCTTTATCCCCCCCCCCTTCCGTATCTCTCGGAAGGACATTATTAGGGATGTTCCTTTGGACCTCATTGACCAGATGATCTTGAGAAACATCAATAGCCCCATAAAGGTTGTCGCTGTCAACAGGTTGAATCGTAGAATCACAAGAACTCCTAACATAGATTCTCAAGAAGACGCTGCCACGCCAATCACTTACACCCCTTCTCTTATTGTCTCGCTCATCTTTGAGGACCAGAAGATTCCAAACTATATTGTCATGTTCCATGTCAGATATCCTGTGTCACCTTATATAGCAAGAGTCTCACGCTGTAATCAATGTTTTAGATTTGGACACATTAAAGTCAATTGTAAGAGCCAGCCACGCTGTGCATACTGCGAGGGAAAAGGTCATACCTTCTCTAAGGAACAATGTCAACACTCAGAGGATCCGCCAAAATGCGCTAATTGTAAGGGTGATCATCGTGTTGACTCGCCTTCCTGCCCGGAACTTATCACACAGAAGGAGATCAGAAAGTATGCTGCATTCAGAAATGTCTTTTTACTAGATGCTAGAAATATCTTCAAAGGTAACAAATCTTCCCCTCTTTTCTCCCTGTCTTCTGAAGAATATCCGAACTTACCCTTCACTCGCAACTCGACAAATCCTCTTCAGGGCAACCCTTTTCCTCATTTTCCATCATCTACATTTACTTCTTCCTCCACCTCCTTCGCCAACGCTGCAAGAAAATTCACCACCTCTAGCGTTATATCTAATCCTTATCCAAAATTAACTCAAGACACAAAATTAAAATCTGTCTCTCTTCCTCAGCTTAAACGATCTTTCAGCGCTCAACATACAAGTTCACCTTAAAGCAAATTCGCGAATTGGAGGTGGAGAAGAATCAGCACACAGATGGCGACGTCTTGTATCAAACGTGCAACCAGAAATTTAACTATTGAAAATTTAACTGAGGCACGCGATAAAATTCGAGAGCTCGAAAAGGCCAGTAAAAAAAAAAAACAAAGCATTTTGAACGATGTACAAGAAAATAGACGTGAATATGAGGCGACATATCCATGCATGATAAGTATATTGAATAGGGAAGTGGAGGCCCTCATGGCTATTGATAGGGTGTTTCAGGCAGAAAGCAGTGTGCCTGATCCAATGGTTAAGACTTGTGGTATCAAACGGCTGAGAGGAGAAAGAAAGGGGGATAAATGAGATGAGGTGGGCCCCAAAGTCAGTCCCGGCTAATCACCGGCGATATTAATGCGTGGTGTGTATGAAGAATGCAGCGAAAACCCACGTTTGAGTCTCGGTAAATTGCTGAGACGGTGGTTAAAAAAAATGCACTGGCACATCAACCGTTAATTGAATCATTCATTCTCGAATACGCTCGCAGAATCTATCCGTAGTCATTACGGAGAAATAAATTTGTTTCATATGAATAATTATTAGGTTCGCGCGGGTTTGGATTAAAAATCGATGCGAACGAAATCGTTAAATAAACCTATCTCTGAGAATAACCTTCGGAGTAAAACGAAGAATATATCTATTAATTTCGGCTTTTAATTAAAAATTGATACAACTTCAAAATATCAAATTAAATAAAAATAGAAAAATTTACATTGAAATAATATTACACTCACAGAGATGAAGATATTATTTGATTCCCCTCCAATATACATACTTTTCGTTTTCTCCCAAAGAATTTTCTCAGAGATAATTTTTCTGAGCAGCGGAAGCGATAAATCGACAATAATGACGATACCGTTTAATCGCAAGTCGACGGATGGAAACTCGCGTGTGAAAGAACGAAAGATAGCGAGAACCGGGCATGACGGCTAAGGGGTAGTTCGCCCTTTATCATCGCCAGCAGGGACACGTGACAGAGAGCCGTGTACGGTAATTTACCGATAATTTCTCAAATCGTGTATCCTTTGCACGCAAGTCTGAATAATCGCACGCCCCCGAAGCAAAAGGCAGCCAAAGGCCTGCAAGAAAGAAAGAGAGAGAACGTTCGCGCGTGACGTTGCGTGCGTAATCGAATCGATACGTCATCTCGAAAAATGTGTAAATGATAAATGTCTCTCGCGCGTAGTCGAGATTCGGATTTTAAATCGACGAGCCTTGTACATGGTCACTATCACGTTCTACGTAAACTTTATCTCATTATAAATATCTTTGCTAAATATCAAAAAAATTTCGAAAATTTTAGTAATTCTCTTGTGAGTAAATTATAATATAATATATAATTTCTCATAATAGTAAAGCAATTGGTCTAAATTAAAACTGATGAAAAGCAATAACCGATAAAAATAAGTTTAGTTAAATTTACTTTTTCGGGTTGTCAAATTTAAATCAATTTTATTCTATATAATTATATATATATATATATATAAAATTTCACACTTTATTTACTTATATCGATCTCTCGTCACGCGAGAGTTTTTATAAATCTTGTATTTTATTATATCATAATAGACGAACAAAGGGACGTGTAAAATTACATAAAATGGACGTCGCAATCCCGAAAATAGAGAGAGAGAGAGAGAGAGAGAGAGAGAGAGAGAAGCGATCCTCCTCGGGGAAAAAGGAGCTGTCTTTGAGTAATATCTTTCTAATTACGATGCTTCGTGCAAAGTCGTGCGACGAAGGGAACGATGTGAAGGATCGTTGAAAAATGCGGATCCTCTAATTCATCGTTCGTTCGTAGGTGTACAAAAAACGCCTAACGGTCTCGAAACGAAGCACCTGGATATATTTCAAGCGTGGATCTTGAACGAACTACGACTACGAGAATAATTCATAGTAGATGATAAATAATACCGACACATGCAATAGAGCGTTTTTAGCGATATTTATTTTTGTAAATTATATACAACGTTAAAAAGCATATTAAATATTGCAATAGCACGTATTTTTACCAAAATGAATATAAATAATATTTTTATAAAATATTATAATAAAATTATATAATAAAATTT